AGAGAGAGAGAGAGAATGCGAGACGGTAGTTTGACGCAACCGGATCGAATTGCGATCCAGCTTGTACGCTGTACATCGGCCATGTCCATTTATTTATGTATGTGGCAATAAAGTCGTTATTGTTACTATTATTATTAATCAGTGTATTTTATGTTATTGAACACTGTTATTATCATCACCAAACTTCTTTTTATCTAATTATATTGGACATTATTATTGTTTTATAAAAATTTTTTAATTTTATAGATCACATTGACAACAAGTGTGAAGAAATGTCTTCATTCATTATCAGTCGGATGTCGTTGAATAAACAAAATTCATCCAATGTTATTTGATACGACATTATTGTTTTTCATTCAGTTGGATGCATTCCGAAGAGAGCCCAATTTTCAACGTGTTACAGGTAGGTTTGCGTTTGTTTTTTTTTTTTATAACACACAAAACACTCACAAATGACGAATGATATATACATACATATGCATCGTATTCAACACGTTCTATAGATTTCACCAATTATAACTCATGTAACTAACAATTGCCTTTGTTCCACTCAACAAAGGCGGAAAGTTTTGTAACAAAATTACAATTAAAAATTTAATGTCGGTTTTAGCTGAAAAATACAAGCGGTCCGTCAGGTCGTCGCGCCTATTTGTTTGTGAAAATGTGCGGATGTTGAAATTTTCAATGCCTTGACTCTCTAAAATTCATCTGCCGCTCTCTATTAAAACGGACGCGTCCCGCTCCCCGGTTTGGCAGTAGCGGCGACGGCGGCAACGTGAAAAGAAAATAAAAATTTAAATTAGAGAATAATCTCAAGACTAGTTCGAACAGCCCGCTGCATAATATAATATATGTCAAGCGGGCTGACAGGTAACAGAGGCAATCTCATCTAGTACCCCCTTAAACAGCTCTGACGGCAAGGTAATTTTCTTGGAATTCGGGATTAAAATTGCGTCCAGCGGCGGCGGGGAGGCGGATAATATGCAGAGCCAAGTAAAGAGAAAGGTTTCGCCAACCGGGGGTTTAAGCGATCTAGCACGAGACCGCTACGGGGCAATAGGCTGGTGCAAATTAGTAGTGACGTAGCAAAGAAATACGCACCAGAAACGTAATATCGTGCTTAATGCCTTTTATATAATATAAAACACAAAAAGGGGAAAAAAGAAATGGTATAGCAGAATAATAATAATAAAAAAAATTATTATCTTGAAAGAAATTATATTTATAATTTTTGAATTATTTTCTTTTTTATTAAATTCTGTTATATTTGCGAATTGTAATTCTTATGACAATATTAACAAATAAAACTTAATTATTTTTAATATAATAGTTGATAAATAAAACAGAAACGCTGCATTTTTTGATTGTTTATTAAATTACTCAATCAAAAAATAAAAAAAATTGTAACAATTTCAGGACAAAATATTATAGAGCGTTCCAGAAGGGCAAAATGTATAATCCTTCAAGGATATCCTATATATCCACTGTCCGGACTAGAGCTCCTGCTCATTCATTATACAGAAGATGCCTGAGCGAAGTACTTATCTAAGTGACTACCGCTGGTACTTGTTCCTTGTACGTACTCGAGGAGCTCGAGCGCACACGACCGTGCGATATAGGTAGGTAGTAACCGCGTGAAAACGGCAGCGAATGGTGTTGGTGACGACGATCCTGGCTGCAGGATGGCTTCTGTGAACCGTGAAATTGTGCGCAATACGAGCGCACCCGATAAAGCTTTAAATACGAATTAGTAGCATCCGCGGCGCGCCAGCGTAGTGGCCGCTATCGTACATACGCACAAACAAAAACGCAATCACATTTCTTGTCGAATGCAATAATCCGCTCCTTTTTAGTGATGCTAAACGACACGACGTGTGCGGTCGTAATATTTGTTAAACATACGACGCGCAATATCTTTTTTTTGTAAATAACGCGTTACTTTCCGCGCGAAAACCTCAAAATGATTTTTAAAATAACCAAGTTTGTCGCGTGTCAGCGTGTTAGCAGATGTCACGATACAGTAAGATGCATTCTCAGGTATCACGGTGATGATTTTGAGAGGGCACTCGCGCGCGTATGAAGATCGATCGATCGTGATCCGTCAATTTCTGTGTCGAGCTTATTATGCACTGCGTCTCAGTAGTACAGACCCGTATCAGGTCAGACGTGGTAAACTCGCGAGCGTAACTCCGAAGCGTGGATATATAACGTCAGCTGCCGTAAATCTAATGATTTACACCGGCGAGAGAAAGACAAACGGATGGATCCAGCTTGCGCGAGTACGGACTTACGATACGAGCGAGGTAAACATTCATGAATCTCCACGGCAATAACTCGATGGCGTTTGCTTCGACAAGTCCAATCTTCGAGTGTGCTTTAATCCCTCTGCAAGTCGCTCGATCGAGTCCAGCGCAAATTATATTTTCCACCGATCTATAATTAAATAAATTTTTTACCCTTCACTTTTAAATCCGCCTTTATCCCGTTACACATTCATTTTTACATCGCCTGCGAGAGAACAGCTATTAGCGAGTGCACAGTTGGCTGCGAATAATTCAATTCACAGCGAGAGTTTATTACGGGCAACTCTACAAATGCAACCGTGCGCGCCGCAACTGCGCGTAAGATCCTAGTAGTAGTAACCGGTTGGCACATTAATTTCCAAGGAGCTTAGTTCGATGCGATCAAAAGCTTTCTACCACCGACATAAAATTTGTTGCATCCGCTGTTAATCCGTTTCGAGGATTAATCCGCTGGCCGATAGACACACGTCGCTAGAAAGTTCTGGAAAGTCGCGACATATTATTCGTTATTATCGCGTATTGATTTAAGACGATTCAACAGCGAGAAACTCATCCCTCTTGTCGTTCTCACGGCGCCGTAAAATCGCTCGGAAGTGCGACGAATTCCCCGTCAAGTTGCGGCTTTAGCAGCGGCAGGTGAAGGGTGAACACATTTCGGGGTAGGTTTGCCAAGACGTGCGAGAAAGGGAGCAATTTATCCATTTGGCGGTTTTGATCGAGGAAAGGGACTCCGAGGCACGAATGTCCCAAACTCCGATCTCACACAATCCGTTCCCTTCGCACCCGCAAAGCGGAGGGTTGCTCCAAGCTGCTTATTCGACAAACTTGCGCTCGCAAAACAGCAACCTATTATAGTATACGCTAATTTGCATTTACAAATTAATTTTTGTTCCTACATAATTGTCTTGCAAAAAATGAAATTTATAGACACTTTAAATTAAAATTTATATTTTAACTCTTATCACACAGCAATCTTTCTTCCGCGCGCAAGCTGCGACTTTTACGATATATTTTTTCTAACCACTCTGCTTTATAATGACAATGTAATATTATTGTGTTTCATTATTCTTATTATTAATAAAAATTATTATTAACGCCTGGATAAACGCAACGGATAAAGACTAAATACTGGTTAATATTCGCAACTGATGTTCTCGGAACATCTGACGATCCGCTTGCACCCACGTCGTCGTGTATGGAAACAGTGTGCGAGAAGTGGCAGGAAGGCGTATACGAGACGGGGGAGTAGACGAGGGACGCCGTAATGGCGGCTAAATTCCTGCAACGGCCGGATGCAATTTAATGCCAGTCGTCGTGGCGCTATCATCGCCTCGCTGATGCAATATCTTTCGAGTTTCCGGCGTCTAGTTAGTGCGGAACGAGCTGTTGATAAATCTCTCCCACCTCCGACCGCCCCTCGCCCACTTGTCCCCCTCATCCAACACACCGTCCTCGCCCCCGCCGCGCGGTATGTGGAGGCCATTTCTCCGGGGCGGAATTACATCCCCCAAATTGTAATTTTGTCGGGCACCGCTCTCAAGCAGCACTCGCATTATTTCCCCTTACCTCCTACACTTGTGCCCTCCCCCACCCCCCCCTCCTCCCTCTTTGTACGAGAGAGTTCCTCTTTCCATCCCTTTTAGCCCCAAGTAGGGGCTAACTTGCCGACGTCGTCTTGAAAAGCGTCGTATTCCTAGCGTGGCACGTGTCTGCGAGCAAGCATCGATTTCCGATTACCATTGAACGAAGTTCGAGGATCCACGAGTCGTTTAAACGTGACCTCCGAGAAAATTAGACGCAAATACTATCGCGCATCTATCATTTTAACGATGCGGATTGTAGGGAAAATTTTAGCGGCTGTTTTATTCAGCGCCCACCCGCTGTAAGTTATCGATGCGATAAAAGTAAAAATAAGAGCGTATCACGCGAATCAAATGTAACACTCCGATAGCGTCAAATTGAGAGGGATATCGCACGGAACGAATTGCAGCAAGCAAAAATAAAATTTCCAGATATTTTTGCGCGCCACAATTTTGTTTCAACTAGGAAAATCATCGGTGCATCGGTGCCTGAAAAACGCCGTGAATATTGAAGCAGCGATATTTGATTATAAATGCCGCGGAAATTCGAAGACGAATCGATTCCGCAGCGATGACGATTCTCTCCTACACAGGTTTCAAGAACGCGAGAAGAAAAACGAAGAGTGAAATGCGCGCAAGTCAAGATAGCGCGCGAAACTTTAGAAGGGTCGCAAGATTAAACTGATCTTTAAGCATCAACGACAAGCGGAACTTTAACGACGTCGTTATGAAATTAATTATTAAAACCGCTCGATAATCGTCGTCGAGTGCAGAAAGTAGCCTTTATCCCTTTTCAAACGAACTGCCTTCAGAGGTTGCAGGACAAATTGCATCGAATTATCTTGAGAGTGCCCTCCCATACCATGCCGTGACTCGCTATGCGCCATGTAATTAACATTAAACGAGCCGGCGAGGCCGAGGCTTTCACTTCTGAATTGCAGCTCCCTTCTGTTTATGTGTCCT